AAAGCTAATTAAATCGATTCCTCATCTTTTGTGAAATATGAAGACAGTGTTGTAAATACTAATTAGGCTGGAGGACGTTTGCATCATTTAAAATGAGGCAGTTGACCACCTGCGACGCTAGGTGATGCATTATAGTGAAGTAAATTAAATGCACATAAGTCAGCGGTGAGGCTGGAGGATTTCTGTGGCTGCCTCTGCCTTCTGTTGGTTGTACCACCCGTCTTCACACTGTACGTAGTATAGGAGTCTCCACCAGGGTTTTCTGAAATACCCTGTCCTATCATGTCATCACTCTAGCAGCACCAGCAGGTGTGACGCTGCACAAAGACAAACTTGTGAATGCCTGCTCTGCCCGCGGTACTTTGACAAGGTAAGGGTCTGGGTGATTCCTTCCTCCTCAGTAGATGTATTCTTACCTCTTGATTCAACTTCTCTGGCAACAGCAGATTGGGCCAGAATAAGCCTTGGGGATTCAAGCTGTGGCTGGCCTAAGAGGTGGCGGCTTTGTAGGGATAATGGTGGCATGCTAAGTATATTAGGGTTCTCTCTCAGGAATTTCAGCTGAATTTATAGCAAGGGTCAGTTGTTTGCAAGCCCAGTGTTGGCCAGAATTTCCTTAGGGAGAAGGCAATATGTGAGGTCATGAAGCCCTGGAAGTCAGGAATAAGCAGAAACAGAGGAAGTAAATGCCATGAAGTCGAAAAGACTCCAAGAGAAGGGGAAAGGTGGTTAGATGGTAGCAGCAAATGGAGAGCTGAGACCCTCTCACAGTGGAGGATGACTTAGATAAATGCTATAACTGGAACTTTATTGGATTTTTCCAATGTATAAATTGTAATGTGAGGCTCAGCTAAATTGTGCCATGATACTTGGCTATGACACTTGTATCCCCATAGTCACGGCTCCTTGCCTCCACCATGGTTTAAGGTGACAGAAGAGGGTATCATTCCTCGCATACTAAAGAGCCTATCACACAAATATGGATCTGTGGTTTGCCTAACTTTTTGTTGTGCTTTTATTGTCTGTTAAGTGCCCTGAGTGGCTTTGCCCCTGACCTTGAACCCTCTCTTTCTCTGCTCCAGCCACCACTGCTCTTTTTGTCCCACGTCCTCCACGGCAGGCAGAATGTGTATGACCAGAACACAGCAGTGATGAAGTCACAATGAGGGCTGGTTGAACCAACCTTGCTAGTCACCAAAGGGCCCTCTGGGCACAGCCCGGCACAGACTGCTTCTGATTTTTAATCAGTTTTTCTTCCTAACGGATAGGGTGAGGACATGACAATTTGTTTCAAATATTTGGTTATAGCTAAACTTAGAATAGACTTTTTCTCTCTATTATTCAATAATCAACTTACTCTTCTCTCTCTCTCTCTTTTTTAAAAATGTGGGGGTATACAAATGTTCATTATGCAGGTACCCTTGTTGATGAGGTGTGCCCCTCCTTCCCCTGGCAGTTTCCCTCAACTGACAATCCCACCCTCCCTCCCCTAATAGTTTCTCACCACTTTCAGCAGGGTTGTTTTAAAATGAACATACGGGCCAGGCTTGGTGGCTCACCCAGCACTTTGGGAGGCCAAGTTGAGTGGTTCACCTGAGTCTGCGAGTTCGAGACCCAGCCGGGCAACTTGGTGAGACCTCATCTCTACAATAAATAAAAAATTAGCCGGGTGTGGTAGTGCATGCCTATAGTTCCGACTACTTGGAAGGCTGAAGCAGAAGGATCGCCGTAGCCCAGCAGGTCGAGGCTGCAGTGGCCAGGAGCGTGCCATTGCACTCTAGTCTGGGCGACAGAGTGAGACTCCAACTCAAAAAAAAAAAAAAAGAACATATGTATAGTTCGGCTGAGATAATCTTTCTAGGAGTAAGCATGATCTTTTGAGATTTTTTTTATTTGTCCACACACTTACGCTATATGGTGGTAGTAGCTAGAGCTCCCTGAATTTCAGATTTGACCTGCTGTATATATGCACTACACTCTCCCTTTTCAGTGTAACCTTGGCTTTGCATGAAATAAATTTTTAAAAATCCTTAATTGTGTTTTGGTTTTGGTGTTAGAACCTTCCTGAGTTTTAGTAAGCCATATGGCTGTCCAGCTTACAACTATGTTTCCTAGCTTCCCTCATAGCTAGTCATGACCTTGTGACTATAGCTAGATGTGACCCCTGAGACAATGTGAGCAGAGTGATGTTTGTGACTTTTATTATTATTATGTTATCCACAGCATCAAAGCAAAGGCAAAGATGTTTGCAATTTCAGTGACAATTTTTGGAAAGAAAATTGCTTGTCCTCCATTTTCTCTTTTGCTTTCAGCCCCAGGAGGTATATTGGTTAACCAGCTTCATTCATGCTGATGAGGGTGATACTAGTTATAGGAGATGGCAGAGGATAAGATGGGAGGAAGTGACTTGTGCAGCAAAGCTACCTACATATCAGAGTACCTCTGGACTGTTACATGAGAGAGTGATCAATATCTCTCCCTATGTGAGCTGTCCCAATTTTTAGTTTTTCTTTTGTAACAGCTTAGTCTACTATTCCCTGACTAACACGTAACAGTGGACAGTTACAGAGTGCTTGCTATGTGTCAGGAACCACACTGAGTGCTAATACGTATTATGCCATTTAATTTTCTAGCAATCATTCTAAATCGGTACCACTTGCCCATTTTACAGATGGGCAAACAGGCTTAGAGAGGCGAGATATCTTGCCTAAGGTTATGTGACTGGAAGTAGCAGAAAGGACTCGAAAGCTCTGAAGTGACTCAAAACACATATTCTTGATAGCTATGCCGTCATGTCTTTTCATACTGTCCACTGTTTTTCAAAGTACTCCTCTTGGCCACATCAAAGTTTTAGTCCATCACATGTCATGGCTGCGGACTCCTCTGCTCAGTTTCATGAAGATTGCTCTTTTATCCTGCTTCTTAAATTATTATTCTTTGTTCTGAATTGGTTATTCTTGCCTTGTTTATGAAGTTGTAAATCTCTCAGGGGATGGACAAACATGCTAAATAAGTGACAATGCCTACAGGGATTAGAGCTGTCTGGTCTTCCAGAATGACTCAATATTCTCTTACATGATGTCTTCCTCATGGGTGTATAAATTCCATTGTTAATGGATCAACCCTGGTGAATCCCTCCCTTCCAATCTTAAATACATTTTCATGGTAGCAGCATATTTGAATAGAGGAAATATCTGAAAAGGTGATTTTCTGTGTGTTACTATATATAAGTAGGTGGAATTTAAGACCTTCAAGATTGCACTTTAGTCAAATGTTGGATTCATGATCATTCTACCATGTATGTGTTAGTCTTAAGTTTGTTTCTTAATAAGAGAAAATCCAGGCTGGGCTCGGTGGCTCAGCCTGTAATTGAGAATTGAGATGGTGATTTCTTCGTCACTCTGGGAGATGGAGGTTAGAGGATTGCCTGAGACCAGGGGTTCAAGACCAGCCTGGGCAATGGTGAGACCTTGTCTCTACAGTAAATTTTTAAAAAGTGGCCAGATATGATATCACGTGCTGTAGGTCCAGCTACTTGGAAGGCTGAGGAGGAGAGATTGCCTGAGCTCAGCAGCTCAAGGCTGCGGTGGTCATGATCATGCCACTGCACTCCAGCTTAGGTGACAGATTGAGACTCCAACTCAAAAAATAAATAAATAAATAAATAATACAATGGACTGGAGCAAAACCATCCACATTCACTTATAACTGATTCTCTGCTACAATAGCAGAGTTGGTCATTGTTTCAGAGCTCATATGACCTGAAAGCCTAGAAGATCTCCCGTCTGATTTTTTTAATAGAAAAACTTTGCCAACCCCAGTTCTAGATCCCAGGGGATGGCTTGTGATGAATGGTTTCATTGCCTGTGATGTCATGACAGATGCAGAGTCGAGCTCGATATGGATATGATCATCTGTTCCTCTCCTGAGATTATACATGCTTGGCATGTGTTTGGCAGCAAGTAACATAAAACCTGACTAATAGTGGATTAAACAAAAAGAGGTCTATTTTCATCGTGTACATTAAAGCCCAGAAGTGGATGGTCCAGGGCTGGTGCAGATACCCAGTGTTTCCTTCGAAACTAGGCTCTTTCTTACTTCTCGGCTATGCCCAGAATGTTGACTTTCATCTCCATGCTTACTATAAGATGGATGTGGTGGCTGGGCTTGGTGGCTCAGCCTGTAATCCGAGCATTTGGGGATTGCCTGAGCCCACGGGTTTGAGACCCATCTGGGCAACTTGCCAAGACCTCGTCTCCAATAAATAAAAAATTAGCTGGGCGTGGCAGCGCCCACCTGTAGTTCCAGCTACTTGGAAGGCTGAGGCAGAGGGATTGCCGGAGCCCAGCAGTTCAAGGCTGTGGTGGCTGGGAGCATGCCACTGCACTCCAGCCTGGGGGACAGAGTGAGACTCCAACTCAAAAAAAAAAAAAAAAAAAAGGATGTGGTGCCTGAAGGCATTATGTCTGCATTCCACGCAGTCTTGAAGAAGGGGAAGATGCAAAAGGGGAAGGGTGTTTTCTAAAAATCTTCCCAAAGGCCCTCATTATCGACAACTGTCTCATGACCGCCTCTAGAAGCCAAGGATCCCAGGATTCTGAGACTGATAGGCCAAACACATTACTGGGGCAAACAAAATGGAGATTCTGTTGGAAAGAAAGGAGAGACAAAAGCAGTGCAGTAGACCGTCTATATCTGTGATTCTGCAGATTCAACAACCATGGATCAAAACTAGTGGGAAAACCCCAATGAGAAATAACAACAGTAACAAATTAAAAAATACAGTATAACAACTGTATACATGGCATATACATTGCATTAAGTATTTAACATATATGAGAGGATGTGCATAGGTTACATGCAAATACTACACCATTTTATATGAAGGACTTAAGCATCCTGGGATTTTGATATTCAAGGGGTATCCTGGGACCAATTCCTTCACTGTATGTGTTTCAATGAGCCTTTCATAGTTAACTGGGCCAGTCTAGCATGTTCTTATGGTCTCATTCTTCCCTCCCATCTTTCTACCCGAAATTAATTTCTCTTCCCCTCCCTTTCTTTTTTTTTGGCTAGGTGAGAAGGCTGGAAATGAGCCTGAAGAGGTGAAGCTGCAGAATGCTAGCAAACAGATTGTGCAGAACGCCATCCTGCAAGCTGTGCGGCAAGTCTCCCAGGAGAGTCGGTGCCGGGAAGACAGAACCAGCGACAACCGGGGCCGCTTCCAGCTGGGCGTGGGGGAGTTAACCAAGAAGCATGAAAAGAAGTAACAGGGTGGATTTGGCTCTTGTCACATGCTCGGTTTCCAGCCTTCCTCTTAGTATAGGACGCCTTGCCAAAATGTTGCCAAAAGCAAACCAAAGTGTCATCGGCACCTAGCAGTAGAATGAATTCGCACTAGCCCCTGGCTGAGAAGCACTGTTTTGAAAAAGTGCTTTTGACAATTCTGTTCATATTTATGCAGTGCCTCTGAAACACAGTGGGGCCAAATATGACACTGTAATTGCAAAAGTAGTTTGCAGCCCAATTTATTTTTAATTATTTTTTTAAAAAAGAATTCTTAAGTCTTGTTTATTTACTTCTGCCTTTTACACATTCTTTCTGTGAATTTAACCAGCAGGTTTTTAATTTTTCTTTCTTCCTTTTTTATTTTCTGAAATATCAGTACTGTGTTCTTTTGATAGTGTATATTAAAAAACATACTGAAAAGGTGAGGGAATGGAGTTTCAGTTTTCAAGTGTGGAATTGAAGGCTTTTATAAAGTGAGTTTGGGTCCAAGGTCAAATTAAGCTAAGGTAAATTCTAAGACTGAGTCCCTCAGGATCTTACCAAGGCAAATATTTATGTAACTTTTTAAAAGAGAGGAGTTTAGGCTTTTCAAGAACTCAGTCTTTTAGTCTCAGTTCTTTGAATTATTTGGTAATTGGTGTTTACACTTTGTGTAGAAATACTTTGGGAATATAGATTTCTTTTCCTATCTCAAGATTAAATAAGACAAGTGAGTCTACATGCATGAGTTGCCAATGACTCGAGGCTTTAGCGACTCCATGAAAAACAGCTAGAGTTGTAGGTTCCTTAAGATCCTGGAGATACTCACACTTGGGTCTGATTATGTGGTGCAGCAGTGCTGGCAGAAATTCTGGGGCCTTATAAACGCTGTGTCATCACCAGGCTATGCATTTGCACTAGGACCTTATCAACTTTTTCCATCTACAAATTAGTTTTTTTTGAGATTATGAAAATCATACAGACCAGGAATGAATCACATAAAATGGGAAAACCATTTTTTCAACTCTCTACCAAAATACAGTGGAACAATAAAGTGACAGTGTTGTGAATACAATTAGAGAGAGATGTATGCATTGTTTAAATATAGTCATTTATACAGTAACTTTCTGCTCCACTCTCGTATGAATAATGCACTTCTTTCTGGAGGCTCTGGAGTCCCATTTCCCAGCCTTCACGAAAGTTATTGAGTTGGTGCTATTGGTGACAGAGGAAGAATTTGACCTTGGTTAAAAACCTTTTGGTTTCACAATATCAACATCTACATTTGATTATTATTTTTTAAAGTAAAGTATTAACATGTAAAGTTTGACTAATATTAAGATATACTTCTAAAATTCAAGTATATTACAGTTTCCAGAATGAATACTTGAATAACAGTAGATTAATTAAACATTTTTCCCATTGACTTTGTTAGATGACATTCCACTGTGAACAGATAAAATAAATTTATGGAGAATGGTGGAGGAAACAGAGGGATTTAACATTTAGATATTATTTACTCATAATTTTTTTTTTAGCAGCACTTATGCCAATTGAAGTTTTAAGTTGACGAAATGTCATGTAACTGATGCAATGTAATTGCAAAGCATAGTGGAAATGAAGATATTCAGGGAAATTATTCAAGAGTGCCCACAAATAAGAAAAAATAAGCCTAATGCTTGTAGTTTGCAAGTGATCTGGCCCTATGTCTGTCTACTCAGATGTTTGGATATGACTAGCCTTGATTTTTTGTTGTCATATGGCAGAAACATATAAACATGCTATCTTTCTTCTCTGGTGTGTCTGTCTGTGCTAAAAAAAAATGGGGAATCTTTAGTACATTTTACCAACTTCTGTATCGAAATATTATTTATAAATAAAATATATTCAGCTTTGAAATATTATTTTAAGCAAAACTTTCTAGACACCATTGTTTGCTCTTTTTGTATGTAGATCTCATCTTTATACAGCCCCAAAAGGCTTTCCAGGACTGTTTTCCAACCTCTAGATATCATGACCAGGGCAAGCGTCTCTTGAATGGGCCCTTTACTGTGACTGAGGAAAGCCATGGGATGGGGGGTCCTGAGGCTTGAAGGGAAAAGGATGCATTCTAAGAAGTGGCCTTTTGATGACAAGAAGTAAAGGTAAGTGGGTCTGGGAGGTTGAGTGTCTGTCATGATCTTTCTGGGATGGAAAGTCTACAGCAAGGGAAAGCGATATTACTAAGTTCTTGGGAGAACAAAAGGAAATTAAGGAAATTAACAAAAGGAAATTACTTATTGAGTGTCTCATGTACTCAATAAGTAGGTACCATATTGGTAGAATCCTAAGAAAACTCAGTCTTAAAATAAATGCGTAGGTTACACACTTGTGTTTCTCTCAATATAAAGATGAAGTTACTGGGCTTCATAAGGGATCTCTATCATTTGGCATAGAGTTAGGATGGATTTTCATTTTGATATCATAAACTAGATCACAGCTTTTAGTTTCAGGAATTAGTGGGAGCACTTATTATGTCTTTTATCTTTCTCATATATTATGTACATTGACTTCCCATCTCTGTTTGGCTGTTCATCTTTTGCTTTGCTTGCCCCTGAGGAGAAAATGAACAAAGAAATCCCCTTATGTTCTATTTTTTTTTTTTTTTGCTATAATCATCTATCTAGTGCAGATATCATAAATTTATATGAAATGACTAACTGGTTCCCTTTGTTCCCTTTATTCCCTTTCTTTCCTCTTTTCCTTTTTTAGCTGTTAATCTTCCCTTATGGTGGGATTTCAGGCTATAAAGAAATGAATCAATCTTTTTAAAATAATCATTCAGAGATGAGTAACTGGCCACTTTCAAGGCTGTTTTGTTTCTGTGAAAAAAACATGAAAAAGACAGACATTTTAATTTAATTTGTTCACTGTAATACCTCATCTACTAAAATACAGTAGAGAACATAATTTCTAAAAAACTTGATAACTACTTCAGCAACCAGAGTACCCAAACAGATACAAAGACTAAATACTTGAGCAAATTCTTCAGTTTATGCAAGGAGAAAGTGGAAATGACAATATCTTTCTTGAGTGTGTGAAAAATTTTGAAATATGTTAATAGACATTACCTAATTTATTGCATTGCCACTGCTTTAAAATAAGGTGCAGCCAGAGAAGATCTTATTCTCCTTTTGCAGATAAAGTTACAGTGGGGCTCGGGGAAACGAAATATAACCCAGGTGAAGAAGAGTAAGTACCATTGGGCATAAGAAAACAAGAATCACTGGTCTCAAACTCTGTGAGCATATGAATCAGCCAGGGAGCTCAAGAATATAAATTTTATGAATACCAACGTTAAGGTAAAAACATAACACTGCTTTAAAGAATATCTTTCTGAATAAGAAATTTGACAAAAATAGTAAAAAGGTCAGCAAAAATATTCATCAATAGAAAAAGTTCAATATCACTGAGCTAAAATAGCGGCAGCTAAGGAAAGAAATGAACTTGAGAAGGAACAAAATAGAATATCACAACAGAGCATGAGAAGTGCACATATCTTCCCCCCATTTGTCAGAAACCATATTGGTGAGTGCACAAAATCCTAAGCCAGGTGTGAAGAAAACATAGGTGACTTATCCTTTGTCTTCTGGCTACAGAGTAGTGTGGCTCTTAGGAAAAAAGTGGTGAAGTAGGAAGAGGGACTTCTCTCAAATGAAAATGATAACTCATTCTTACAAAAATGAAAAAAGAAGAAAAGGAAGCAAGGAAGAGAGAGAGAGAGAGAGAGAGAGAGAGAGAGAATCCCCACATCATATCCTAGGAAAGTGGATACAAAATGATCAACAGCAGTAATTCCAGACTAGAAGAAAAATTCTTACTACTTCTGGGATGAGAGCAAGTCATTGACAAAGGTACATTCAGAATGGCATCAGATACCGTAGCAATATTCAGTACCCTAACATAAGGGAAAAAGTCTGTGAAGTAGCTCTGAAGAAAAAAAGTGTGATGTAAGGATATTATTCCCACTTAAGAAGTCACTTAAGAATACAGGTAAGCATAAAAAAAAAAAATTAAGGGTCAACCCGTGCTTGAAATCCCTTTGTAAAAATATGCTTGATCGTGAACTTCAGCCAACTAAAAGATGAATTTAAAAAGACTTTATGGCCTGAGCCCGCGGGTTCGAGACCTGCCTGGGTAGCGAGACCTCATCTCTACAATAAATAAAAAAATCAGCCATGCGTGGTAGCTCATACCTGTAATTCCGGCTACTCAGAAGGCTGAGGCAGAAGGATCGCCAGAGCCCAGCAGGTTGAGGCTGCTGTGGCCAGGAGCGGCCGCTGCACCCCAGTCTGGGCGACAGAGTGAGACTCCAACTCAAAAAATAAAATAAAATAAATAAATAAAAAGACTTTATGAATACCACATGTTCTCACTCATAAGTGGGACCTGAACATTAATCACAAAAACACAAGAGAAGGATCAGCAGTTACAGGACACTGCCAGGGAAGGGAGGAAAAGCGGTGGGGCACATAATTCCACGGAGGGTACCTGATCCTAAACCAGGCGAAGTGAGGACCAGTTGGAGGCCCAAACTTCACCTGCATATACACTACTTATGTACATAATCCTGACTGGTACTTCATATCTTTATAATAGTAATAGGCTTTAGAAATAAAAAGAGTGTGGCAAAAGTACTGCTGGATGTCTTTGCTTAAATATAAAGTAGGTATTACATAATTGTGAAAATTTTGGCAAAATGAGGTACATTAATTCCTATTTCTGACAGTATAAAATATGTCTGACAATAGACAAGAGGCAGACAAGGGAAATGACATCATGATAATGACTTCATCTGTTAGAGAGAATTTATATGATCTCAAGTTCAGTGGTCTAGTTCATAAATTTCCAGGATGCCAACCCTTTATTAGATTTCATAATGCCTCATCTTAACCTTAAGGGAAAGTATTAGAAAATAATATAATGGAGAGTTGATTTTTAATAGTTTTTTAAGCTTCCACTTAGTTTATTTTTCTGTCATTAAATTAACACAGTTAACTATAATATCTATATAGTTTTACTGTGTCTTTTTCCATTGGAATAATCTCTTGGCAACATACATGTCTTGTACTTTTCTCATTCTTCTGCTGAAGCTGACCAGGAGGACTTGTACAGAAGATGAAGACCAGGGAGATTTTCCCACTGAGAAATGTAATTTCTTTGATAATTAGACTTAGGCCACAGATTCTTCATAGTCTAAATACTAAGAGAAGAAAGAATAGCTT